TTTTTAAAAGTTGAAGAACTACACATTAAATTATAACTAGCAGATATGGTATACATATAATTGGAGGTTACACTACGATGCGGAAGGCCATAAGGAAACCATCGCATCATAATTCCCTAGTAACATCAATGCACATGATATCCTCGAATTCTACTATGATGTGCTATAATCAATAATCTAAAAATAGAAATAAAAAGGATAAACATCGATGTTCTGAAAGTTTCAGAAGTACGATGGCCTGAAGTTGGGGATATATTTAGCGGAGAATATTGATTTATATACTCAGTATTATTCATAATTTAAAAAATTACCATCATATTTAACACAGCCATTTTGTTTTGTCAATCTCTTTAGAATTATGTCTACTATATTTTTATTTAATTTGCTCATTGTAAATGCTTGATGTACTTTATCGACAGGAATATATCCATCAATATTTTTAAAACTTTCCAAAATATCAGTTAAATAATTAATTTTAAATATAATGGTACTGTTAAATAAATCCATTAAATTTTCTATATTCAATTTTATATTTTCTAAACGAGAATAAATTAAATATGTATTAGTATAATTATATACTTAAAAAATTAATATGATATTGTCAATGATCGATGAAATTTACAATTATTATTTTATATTAAAATATGTTACTAATTTCTATTAAGTAAACGTATGTCTGATTAATTTTGGTGTAAACATTTGTTATTGAGCTTTTTTTTTTTTAATCTAGTACTTTTTTTTTTATAAAACATAATTTTTTTTTTTAATATGTATTTTTCTATTTATCTTTTTGATAATAATTAATTATACTCTAAAATTTAAATTAGGCTGAATTTCTGCAATCGCTAAAATATGTTCAATTATAAAAAAAAATTCTATTAACTTAGTGATTAAATTGTCAAAATATCTTACTACCATTGAAATTTATAAAATCAATAAAAATTTTGATGAAGACTAAACATATATACATATATTATTTTAGATTTTTTATTCTCGTAACAATAATATTTCAGATAGTGTTGAAACATTACAGATAGATTCAATAATACCAGATTCTTATATGACAAAATTATTTTGTAACAACTATTTATTTTATTTAGTCGACAAATAATAACGTTATAATTAAATTTCTTATCAATATGCCTTATAAACGGGTAAGTTATTCTGATAACAATAGAATTGCAACTATCAATTTAGTAATGTGTTTATTTAAGTACAAAAATATTGATTATCTGGATGCTAATTTTGGAAACAACAATAAGATATTATTACAATAATTCAATGTTAACAATAAATGGTCTATGTATTGCCTTATAGTTGATATCTTAATTCATTAACTAATCAATTATAAACGAAAATTCTATTATATTTATCAATTTCTTTTTGTCGGGACCAGGGGCATTAAATAATTTAGTGCGTATCCGAACCGAATAATTGCACTAATGCCAATCAGGCTGCGTAGTGTGATGTATGTAAATAAAATCACTGGTGGTGGGAGGGTTGGCCTGCACAACAACCAGTGATCTATGTGATGAATAATGTGTAAGTGTGTACCCTTAAACTAAATAAATAATTCAAACCTTTTTACAATAATTTCAATAAATAAAATGACTAGATAATATTTAACTCTTCTGGTCCAACAGTAATAAAAATTATAAACTCTAAAAAAGTATTTAACAAATAACAACAAATTCTGGAGTTTCATCACTGGATGGTTTCTCCAATCATGTATATATGTCAATTGTAAATTATTATTTTTTAAATCATACCATATGCTTATTGTACTAATTTAGGTACAGATTGTATATTTTCTATATATATATATATAAAAAAAAACAACAAATTGACTACAAAATAAACTCTAGAACTTCAATAAATGAATCATAAATAAATTTCAATGGTATTCACAATTCGTAGAGCTGCTGGCCAGAGATGCTACCTAAAACTAAAACATGGACCACAATAATAACAAATTAATTTAGATAAAGACAATTTTTGGTAACACAAATTTGAATATCACAGAAAAAACAAAACAAGTTATTGAGCTAATTAGTAGCTTTACAAAAATTGTTCTCCGCAATTAGTGCAAAAGAAAAAACAATGACAAAAAAACTACTTGAGCTTTTTAAATCTTAAATTTGCCGTAACGATTTTACCACAACTAAAAATAACGTCTATATCAAATTTGTATGTGTATTTTTACTAACAAAAGTAACTGTTTTAACAACAAAAATCTTTTGCAGATTATATCGCAATCCAATTTTGTACTATACTATATAAAATTTGGTTATGTGCGTATGTAGTGTGTACTTGTGTAACAGCTGATCAGCTATAATTAAAACTATTTTATTTTTTTTACTCACCTTAATTCCAACTACTTGGGGTAGGCAACTCTTATCCTAAACTTCCACTTGACACGATCACCCACGTCATCTACGCTCAGCCGTCCTCATATCGCATTCTATTACATCCTTCCATCTCTTTTTTAATCTTCCTTTACTTCTACTTCCTTCAACATTCATTTCTATAACTGTTCTAACAGATTTTGATTCTTCTCTCCTCATAACATGACCAAACCATCTAAGTCTATTTTCTCTCATCTTATCTACTATTGATGCTACACCTGTACTTCCTTTTATATGTTCGTTCCTAATCTTATCTTTTCTAATCATTCCATTCATCCAATAATTCTCTTGATTCATTACCAATACAATAATTAACTAAAATTCTATTATAATTACCATTGTCTGTGTTTTTTTTATCTGAAATACCCACATTGGTACCTTCGTTAAACATAACGCGTTTTAATTCATGAAGTTTCTTAATAGTAACCATACAATCTTGATTTGTATCTTCTTTTGATAACAATGTATTCATCTGCATGCTTATTATTTCCAAAACACTTAAATTATTGTTGAACTAAAAAACATAATAATTTGTTAATTTTATTTAATTTGTTTACATAAATGGAGTCAAATGTTGTGCTTCTTATTATTTATTTATAAAAGTAGTTCATTAATAATAATTATGATATGTGGTCTGAAGAATAATTCCTCAGACCACAGCGTGTTATGGTCGAATCGAGCATATGAGATTGTATGACGCATACTGCTTCGAAATCAAATCCCATTGACTAGTGAAATTTTTTTCATTTTTTTCACTGTTTTCTCTTTGAATTATTAATTCATGTAAATTTGTTTATTTTTTTTTTTTACATTTTATTTATCTATATACTTTTATGTGCATTCAAAACACATTTGTTGGTACAAATTATAATTCAGTGGTAAAAATGTGATTAAAATAAAATAATATTTTATACATATAAATATAACTTATTTTAATATTAACTGGGTAAGAGTATATTTATAAAGAGATGATATTGAGGAATTAAATACATTACATTTCATATTAGGAAGGTTGATATTTATCATTAAATCAGCAAAATCATAAATACTTTTTACTTTTTATACAACGTATAAATGCTATTTATTCACATATACATTTAAACTTTCATAGATCTGATGGTCAGAGTTTTTTCGAACAAATTTCTCTGGGAGCACTTGAAATGCACAAAAAAAATTGTTTTTATAAAAAAAAACTATTAAAATAACTCATAAAAATAATAATTAAATACATTACATTTCACATTCAGAAGGATAATATTTATCATAAAAATAGAAAAACATAAATACTTTTTACATTTTAAACAATGTATAAAAGCTTTTATTTCATATGTACATTTAAACTTACATACGTCTGATGGGAAACAAATTTGATTCATTTATCGATTTCTCACTAATTTGACGGAATACTAAGCGTATATTAGCATGTTTTTAAAAATATCCACAGAAGGTTGATGGTGAATTAACAAATGTATTTTTACTGCATCTTCTCTGTACGAAAGTTGTTAATCAATTTGTAAAACGTTAACAGAATTTTGTATTTTTTTTATAACATTTTTTACTATCGCGAAAAAAATAAACATCGCATGGCTGACAATATGGAGTACAATGAGGTGGGATTATTTCTACAGTTGCATTACATTCACCATTTGAATTAGTAAAATTATTTTTGAAATGTCCAGGATCTGTTTTTCCTCCCCATGAATCAATGATCAATAAAAACTCGTTGATTCACAATATAGTGCTAAAATATTTTTACAAGCTCATTAAAATGAGATTTTGTTCATTTTCCTCGACTTGGGCGTTGTTACATAAATGTTACCGTATGAAGTTGTTAAAGAATTCATAGTTTCGTTTATACGTGGACCAAATTCTCCGTTAATTTCTTGCATACAGAAAAATATTTTGGGGAGAATTGTACCCGCAGCAGTAATTGCATATTGTGCAGTATAGTTGTGTGTTACTCTATAAAAATCGTCTAAAAATACCTCGGTAACTTTTTCGCCTTTATGTGACTATGTCCTATATATATCGCTTCGATATTTACAACCGGTGGTTTGATATTAAGATATTCTTTTTTTAAAAACATCTGCGTGTTAAAAATTATGGAAATATCTAAAGCTTTTTTCGATTTAATATAACGTGTTACCTTTCTTTGACGGATATTATTATTACGTTTGAATTTTTTCACTCATAATAGAAAGGCCGTAAAACGAAAACCATTTATATTTTGAAATTTCACTGCGGCCTTTGACGCCCATCGCTGAATCATCCTTGTTGTAACAGGTTATTTGTTCATTTTAGCTTCATAAAAGCCATCATAAGTCCACTTATTAATTTTTTCATAGTACTTCTTTACACCACAGTTCAAAATTTCATTTTCTCAACGTCTTAAATACTCCTTTTTTAACACGCTTATATTAGTTTCACGTGCATGTTGTTTGTTTGTCGTTTGTAAGTTTGTAACTCCACGCGGCACGTGTTATTATGTCGCGTATCCCGTCGTGTATGACCTTGAGACTATACTGTTGTAACGCATTCGCCCCACCCCGCTCACCTCTCGTAGAGAACAATATTTTCCAACCCGTAAACGCGCGCTCATCATCAAATATATATATATATATATAACAAATTTTTATTGTAATTGACACAGTTGTAAAACGACGCGGTGCAAAGTCCAGCAAGTGCCGCACGGCCGACGTCGTCCCGCCGCTATACCGTAGTCTACTTCCCATTGTCAAAATAACATCGTCAACAAACTTATCCGCACTCGCGCACCGTCGTCATCTACGCTGCTAACCTATTGACGCCCGAGCATCACGCCGGACATCGCGTCTTCGACGCCAGCAAAAGTGCCGCGATATTATGCGAAGATTATATATTCCTACCGCCACCGCTAATATTAATATATATATTAATATTTATACGTATATACGTATATGTTAATATTCATTTATATATTCCTACAGCCGANCTTAAAACAATAATGTAGGAAAAGTACTAGTATTATTGTGAAAAAAAGCGTGGATGCTTTATGCCATATTTTTTGTATATTGACCGCCTGACGCTTTTTTTCACAATAATACTAGTATTTTTCGTTCATTATTATTTTAAGTTAATTTTAAAAATTATTTTTAACTTTTTAGTTCGATGTGCTTTAAAAGCGTGTTTTTTAGTTTTTTTAAACTATATTTATTTTTCACTTTTTAGTTTCATGTTATGATAGTAGTTAATATCAATATCATGGTTGTANTTTTTTCAACAAATTATATCCGTTACACGTTACAACGTTACGCGTTGTAATGTTTTTAAGTCCAATTAGGGAGTTTTTTAGCAATTTGAACAATTTTAATTTTGGTTTCAATCTGTATAAATGACTTATTTTTTAATGGAGATTTCAATTCATGGGAACTAATTGTTAAGTTATTCGAAATTGTTGATCTAAAGCTCTTAACACAAAAGATTCTTCAGGTTGTCAACAGCTTGAAAAATATTCTTTATCTTCCTTAAATCCATACACATTTAATATCTTTATTATTGATATGGCCATAATTTCACCCATTAAACAATTATTTTTGGAAAATTTTTAGTCAACTGTTGAAGATAAACAATTTGAATCTATCAATATTTGCGCGACAATTTTCAAAAGCATTAGCAGCGTTAGTTTTTATATGAACATAAAAACACCTTGTTTATACATTCCTCACTAATAATGGCACTTGTGGATGGTTTTAATAGTTCAAACAATATTATGCAAACATTTTAAATATAAAAAAAGATAAAGTAAAACTATAAATTGTTTATAAATTTGTCCAATCTCGCTCTATATCCTATTTTCGTATTGTATTCTAAAACTCATGAAAATTATGCACTGACGATTTTTAACATAAGTTATCCTGTATTATTAAATAAAATAATATATTAACTGTAAATATTAATAGATTTTTAAAGATAATACCAATCAAAACTTTATATTTAATGTATTTGGGGAATTAATATCGACATTACTAAATATTTAAAAACTTGTTTGTCACACTTGTCTATCAAAGAACAAAAGTCTCATATTTCTATACTTTCATTGAGTTGAAATTTGTTTGATATTTTAAAATCACATTGTATATAATTAAATAACTATAATCCAAAATCATAAAAAAATTCTCATTTTAATGAATTCATAAAAAATGTATCAACACCACATTGTGAATCAAACGAATATTTATGAATCATTGATTCAAGGGTAGAATATTGGATTTAATATTATAAAAATATTAATTTAACTTATTCTAATTTTTAAAAAAATTATGTTTTTATATAACAAAAAGTAAAATGAATAAATAATAATTTATAATTTTATTTTTAGCTTCGATGCAAAGCTGAGATGGTATTGCTTTTACTATGATGTGTTTTTTTTTGTCTGTTACCACTTTTTCTCAGCTCTCAACGAACCGGTTTCTTTCAACGGTACGTCAAAAGATCATAAATCGTATCTAGTCGAAGACATTTTCCTCAAAGATTGAAAAAATATCCCTCGTTCCCTGTAAATGAGGAAAATCTCCAAAAAAATTACAAATTTAAAAATCGTTAATTTTCGAAATTTATTCAATGTTTTAAATTAAAACTGCCATAACTTTTTCAAAAATGAACAAATCAATATAATTTTTTTATATAGATGCTTGATGTAATTACCTATCATTTGGTATACTTTTTTTTTTATAAATCTGACCCTTTACCAGCCTACAGGTGGGAAATTACTTTTTCAACTTAGTTTTTGAAAGTGTTCTGGAAAGTCTGACACATTTATATATATCTTAAATTAAAGCTAATGTAATGTACTTTATTATGGAAAAAACAATTTCGAACTTTATTTTGCCTTCACGGTGAAAATGGTATTGAAAAATGTATGGATCAATACAATTTTTTTATTAAAAGTAGTATTTATATACACCTTTCATTCGACATACTTTATCTTAATCAGGATATTAATAAGAAAATAGCATATCTTGTAACTTTTGGAATAATTCATCAATTTTTTAAAATTAAACATTATCTAAAGATTTGCAACGAAGCATTTTTTTTTTATATTGATTTTAATCACTGTCAGATATCATTATACTTGATCCAACTATGACACGTCACCACTGTGCCGCGACCCACCTGTGCTGGGTTTTTTTCTGTCTAGTTAGTTTAATAAAAATTACAAAATAAAAAATAGTTGAAATCGTAATTGATAAATTACCTGCATTTCATTGTTTTCATTACATTCATTACATTCATTACATTCATTGCATTCATTACATTCATTGCATTCATTACATTCATTGCATTCATTTAGAATATTTTCATTATTATTTTGTATTTCATTATGTTCATTTGGTAGGTCTCCTTGATTACTTGGTCTTACAACTTGATCTTTTTGAAAATCTTCAATTTTCAATGGTTTATCTTTAGAATTAATGAGAGCGCAAAAAGCCGATAAAATGTAACATGCAAACAATAATATCTTAATTTGATAAATCATCTCTTAATATCTTCAGTTTCAAACAAAATTACTTAAAATATTAAAAAAGTTATAAATATAATAATTATAGTATGAAAATGTTTATATAAAAAATGTATAAAATTTACAGACTATTTTAATCCTTATTTACTTAAATTAAATATGTTAAAGTAAAAAACAAGTTTTTAAATCAATTTTATATTTAAATTTTAATATTATAGCAATATGTGATTAAACATTTTTTAATTGTTATATTTTATTATTGTAAGATAGTTTTAAACGAATTAAATTTTTAAAATAGATTTAAATAAATTGAAATTAGTGCGGTTGAAACGTTTTTATTTACGTATTATATTAAAGTTTATATCACTTAAGTAAAATTATTAATAATATGAGAGCATAACATAATTTTTCTCATAGAATCAACTAATTTCGGTTTATTAAAAAAAAACCCAAGCACAGGGGGATCGCGGCACAGTGATGACGTGGCATAGTTGGATCAAGTATAATGATATCTGACAGTGATTAAAATCACTATAAAATAAAACGCTTCCATATAAATCTTTAGATAGTGTTTAATTTTAAAAATCGATGGATTATTCCAAAAGTCACATGATCTCCTATTTCCTTATTAATATCCTGATTAAGATAAAGTATGTCGAATGAAAAAGGGATTATTAAAAAATATTACTTCTCATAAAAAAATTGTGTTGATCCTGACACTTTTAATAAGTTATAGCATTATTAAAATGAAAAAAATAAATTAGAGAATTTTCACACAAAAATAGCATTTGGTAGCATTTTCACCGTGAAATCAAAATAAAGTCCGAAATTTTTTTTTTTCATAATAAATTACATTACGTTATCTTTAATTTAATATATATATAAAAGTGACAGATTTCCGGAACACTTTCAAAAGTTAAGTGTAAAAGTAAATGTTTTGTGAAAAAGTTGTCATTTTAAATACCCCCTGTGGGCAGATAAAGGGTCAGATTTATAAAAAAATATATACCAAATGATAGGTAACTACATCAAGCATCTATATAAAAAAAAATTATATTGATATATTAATTTTTGAAAAAGTTATGGCATTATTAAGTTAAAAATATAAAAAAGAATTATTTTACAAAAATCGTCTATTTTTACCACTAAGACAAGTCCAGAAAAATTAGCGATTTTTAAATTTGTAATTTTTTTGGAGGTCTCCCCCGTTTACGGGGAACGAGGGTAATTTTTTCAATTTTTAAGGGTAATGTCTTCGACTAGATACGATTTGTGATCTTTTAACAGTTATTCTNGGGTAATTTTTTCAATTTTTAAGGGTAATGTCTTCGACTAGATACGATTTGTGATCTTTTAACAGTTATTCTGCTCACAGGAGGGATTTAAAATAGCAACTTTTTTACACAAACTAATTTTTTTAACTTAACTTTTGAAAATGTTCCGGAAATACTGCGTCCTTTAAACATATGTCAAATGAAAGCTTATGTCATGTACTATAAAATTAAAAAAAAAATTGTCCCGACGACCTATCTTCTATGCGCAAATGGCTACCGTATTCAAAAATATGCTATTTTTGTGTTAAAATCCTTGGTTTTGTATTTTATTTTATTTTAAAATATCTTATAAGGTCAATACACTGACTTTAATGAATATTTTATACAGGCACGTAGCTATGGGTGGGCCTGGGTGGGCCTGGCCCCCCTTAGAATTAATGTGGCCCAGGGCTGGCCCCCCCAAATTTAAAATTCAATTATTTTTACAAATTATCAAAAACGTGCTAGGCCTTATATACATTGAAATTATTATTAATTTTTGATTACTATTGAGTAATACAGTTATTATTATGGCTGTATTTTCATTTTTATATTCATAGAAAATGTTATTTGAAAAAGAATATTACATTCTAGACGTAATAATAAATGGAATAGCAGTTACTCCGAACGTGGTTGTAGGTAAATTTTTTTTAACTCTGGTCCAACAAATGATAACAAACTACCAAGTATGTGCACTGATTAAAATCTAGTTAATTACAAAATTTGATAGAGTAATACTCTTTGGAAATTTCTTTGATAAATGTTATCTTTCATCTGTTTCTTGTTTTATAATTTAGTACTAATAATAAGTAATTTATTTCTTTGTGTAAATTTGTTATTTTCATGCTTTTAAAAATATGACTGAAAAAAGGCAGGAATTATTTTCAATTTTTAACGTTTCAAAAAAACAGAAAGTTACAAACGAATTGGATTTAAACATAGTAAGTCCATAAAATAATAATGTAAATACTACTAATGTAATTTAACTTCTTTTACCTTCTATACAGTGATTGAAATCTAGTAAGACTCTTATTTTCTCAGAAACTATTGAAAAATTAAAATTTTTGTAAAAAGAAAAATTATTAAGTTTATAAAACTCTACAATAATAATAAGTTAAATACATTTTAGCTTCGATGCGAAGCTGAGAAGGTATTAGTTTTACTATGATGTGTTTTTTTTTTT